TCACTTCTGTCTATCCACCCTTCAGTGATGATTCCAAATATATGGCTTTGATGTTTGGAAATCATCACTGAAGGGTGGATAGACCTTTTCTTATTGAAGTAAATTTTCCTATTGAAGTAAAATTCCTTTTGTCAACACTATCCTAATAAAACAATAGCTTACCTAAAGGTAAATACGTTTATAGACTAGATGGAATACTTATGAATTATGTAATTTAGTCCTTGAAATACCCCTGAGACATTGGTGATACTTCCAGCCTGTTATACAGGGAGTTTAAAACCCATGTTTGAGGTTCTTGGCTAACTCAGCCCTATAACTGTAATAATTTATTAAAAAATAAGGTATACATTAATATGCTTATGAGGAGAGGAAAATCTATTCTCCAACATTTTTTTTTTTGCTTTAAGTATCCTTCCAAATGGATAAAAACAAAACAAAACAAAACTGATGAAGCTTCGTAGTTAATGGATATGGAACCCCTAAATTTTCAAATCCTCACTAAATCGAAGTTTGTCTCAAAGTATAAAGCACTGCTGCCTAAACTTTCATTTCAAGGTGTGTTGAAAGTATGTTGGAGTCCATTCTTTCAGGATGAAGTTCAACAACTGTATTTGCACTGTGCCTTTATCTTGTATCATCTACACCTATTCAGGGTCAAACAGGCAAGTGGTACAAACATTTCTATTTTCAAATTATAACAGATGCTGGTGTCCCATCCCATCCTGTGGGGATTTAACCTAAGCCTCTGCCCTTGAATACAACATTTAGGGTTTGTATGGCTTATCTCAGAAATAGCTTTAGATTTTGCCATGGGTTATATAAAGAATAAATGTTGAGAATGACCATTGTTATTTAAGAAGTGACCATGAAGGAATAAGGAAAGTTTCTGTAAAGATGGTAAAAGTCTACAGTGGGGTGGAGTGGTTTTCTCTCGGGCTTAACAACAATTTTTCCTTTGGGGGAGTTCTGTTGGATGAGTTGGTTTTCCTTGGATCTTAAATGTTCCTCAAAGGAACATATGTTAAATATTTGTTCTCAAGCCTGTGGTGTTGTTGAGAGGTAGTGAGACCTTTTAGCAAATGTGGCACAGAGAAAGGAAGTTGAGTAACTGAAGATATGGCCTTTTGGAGGATAGTGGGACTCTTCTCTCTTCCTGACTTGTTCTTTGCATCTGGCCACCATGAGATGAACAACTTCACCCCACCATGTGCTCCTGCAATGGTGTTCTATCTCTCCAGAGGCCTCAAAATTACAGTGTAGTGACAATGGACTGACACCTCTAAAACCATGGGCCCAAACAAATCATCCCTTCTTATACATTATTACTGTTGGGTCTTTTGTCATACAGACAGCAAGCTGACTTACACACAATCCTAAACAATGATAGCACCTGTGTCCTCAAAATTTTAAGGCAATCAAAAACTAGATGGATTCACTCCTGCACTCTGACACTTGACAATGGATTTGAAACTCAGAGAAATGAAGTTATGTATCTGAACCAATGGGAACAAATGAGAATCTATTCTTCACTGTGTTTTGGTCTTTCCACATTAGCAAATAGCATCTCATTAATGTGATGGTTATTATAAAGAATGGTCCAAATAAGAACCCAGCATTTACACACACACATTAGTTCTGGGAGTTAATGCTTCATCCGGTGCCAGGAAATGGTACACAAGAAATAATCCTCTCCTAGAGTCTTCCCAGGATTCAATCTTCTAAAAATATCTCTTTATTAAAAAGAATAGAATTGTGTATTTTTCTTTCGTTAAAGCTGAAGAAAGCAGGTTTAAGCTGATCTATAGAATCAATGTTATGATTGTTTTGTTGCCATCAAGTATATTAGATTTGCCAATTTGTGTCTGTTTTCTAAAACCTCAAATAGTTCAAATCAAGACTGGGAGGCCAGGATGTAGAAATTAGAATAAGCATATAAGCAGAAGCATTTCACCTTTTTAGAGGAGCAATACACTTAATCTTATAACACATCTGTACAGAAGCATTAAAATTTAATCCTTTTTGTACAGATGTTGAGAGCAGCATTTTTAGGCAAACAGACAACCTTCCTATGAAGAATAGCAAGAACTTTTGTTTAACTCTGTTTTCTTTAAGACCTTAATTTTAGAAGGTAAATGTAGAGACCAAAACGTTTGAGAGATCCAAAATACAAGCAAGAAAGTTTCTGGAGAGATTAGAGAGGATAACGGGGAGAGGAAATATAGCCAAAGTACATTATATATTTGTATGAAAATGTCCTTATGAAACCTAGTACTATGTATCATGATAATGTACCAAGACAAAAGGAAACACCTTGTACATTAATTCACCGAATATTCTTATACTAGCTAGTGTACAATTATAGACTTATATGCAGATATTTATATTGCTGCCTTTTTTGCCCAGAGAGGATCACAGTAGTTTCAAGCTTTAAACTGAGGTACAGAGAGCAAGTAACTTACCCTTAGGAAAAGCTATGTCAAAGGGAAGTATCACTGTAAAGTGGTGTGGAAATGTTCTTCCTGGTGATATGTTAATTTTAACAAACTTTATTGTAATTTAGAAGCATATTTAACTCATGGAGGCTTTTTTTTTAATAGCAGTTCTCAGTATGTGTAAAGTAAAATCTGATGATGTCTCCAAATAGTCTTTTCCCTTCCCTTTTTTAAAACAAAAATCTCCAAGGGCAGAATGGGAAGGCTTAATGACAAAAATATAAAGAGTGGGATTCCTATTATCTTTAACCAGAATAAGTTGAATTTCCCAGTTTCTTACCTTCTGAGGATTTTAGTTCTTAAGAAACCAGAGATATATTAAAATATAAAATAATGTTGATCCTCTAAAAATTTCTAGTACTTGAGAAATCAGTTTAAGATTTAAAATAATGCTGAATGTCAATCACAGACAATTAGTTCTTCCTTCTGTAATCACTTTACTTTGGTAAACAACTTTTCTCAATACTTCTCTGTTGTGTAACAGTTTCCTTGGAGACTGAAACATTCCATCCTGAAGGGATGTTCCTTAAGCAGGAAGGTATACAACTCAATAGCTCCAGGAAGTCCCTGAAACTGACAAGATTCCCTAGGCCTCTCCCTGGCAGAGTAAGCAATAAAAGCTGAGAGTCCCTCCGAGACTAGCAGAGCTAAGCTGCGAAGACTTTCAGAAGAGCTAGGCTGCAAAGATGACCCAGAGACCAGACCAGTTGCCTGGAAGAAGCAGAGACCAGCCAAGCGGCCTGGAAGAGGTTCAGATCAGAGTCACTTGGAAAGGACACTCTCTTTGTTGAGCTGCCTGCAGGCTGTGCAGTGTGCTCCAGCTTCCCACCTTTTTGTGAGCTGGTAGGGTGGGCTTTGATGATGCAGCAGTTTTTGAGTCCTGTCTCCTGTAAGTAACCCCTCACTCATATTCCTGGAAGTAACCCCGTAAAACTCATTGGTTCCCCAAGGTGAACTTTGGTAGTATCTGTGGTTCTTTGTGGGTTTTCAGTCTGAGGTAAGTAGACATGTGTGTTGTGTCTCCACAGGAAAAGTTGTCACACAAATCCCCTTAAAGATAATCATTCTTAATTAAGCTAAAACAAGAAGTGGGTATCAGGTTGTATGCATTCACCCCTACTATGTCAGCATGTTTAAGTAACCCCCAAGTTATTTCAGACATATATGAAGAGATCAGAGTAGAAGGGGAAATAAGAGATCGTTGAAAGGACTGGATGGCCAAGCCAGGACCCTAATAGGCTCCTCTGGCAGCCCTGGCATGGACCAGGCCTTAGTTTTGGTTCACTAGAACGGCCTGGAGCTGAGCAAGCAGTTCTCAGGAAAACCAAACTTTGGAGCAACCAATCAACAGGTGCCCCCCAGCCTCCAGCTGGCTCAGCAGGCACCTCTGAGTTCCTGCTGGTTCAGCAGATGTCCCCCAGACTTCTGCTAGCTAAAGATAGCTTTCTATACCCTCTCCTTAAAAAGCCCCTAGACACTAGCTCCCCCCCTCCCGCCCCACCAATCAACTACAATGGGCCACTAACCACTACAGCCTCCCACCAATCAACTCCCAGACTAATCTTTTCTCCACCAATTAGCACTAGATTAATCCCTCCTCTCTGGAATTCCCCTAACTCTGCTTAAAAGGAGCTTGTGACCCCCCTTTGGGGTTGCTATTTGCCACCCCAACTGTTGGAAACAATAAATGCTCTTGATAAATTGCATACGTGACTGTTGGTCTTTCTTGGGGGCTTCTCTCGGACCCTAACAGTCGTCAGGCTAATCTTCCACCCTGAGTAGGACTGTTGTTATGACACATCTAAGAGGTCACCAGACAGTATTTAGCAGAACCTGACAGTGGCATGCTACTTCACATGGCAGTCCACTCCTGTCTTCAGAAAGTCACATGTAGCATTTGATGACTCTTTCTAATTTTGAGTAAGAATCTAAGTGATCTTAGCTTGGCCCAGACCTGGCTCCTATGGTGGTGCAGCCTTCTCTTTCTTCACTGATAAATTTGAAGGCTTGCTTCCCTGCTTCAAGAATCTGTTCCTCTGAGGACATTGACATACCTGTGGGTCTTTTGTTTTGTCTCCCTAGGCCTTGGGTTCTGATCTGTCAATATGGTCCTTCTCTAGGAAAGCAATTCTCCCAGCCAGGCATGGTGCTATACAACTGTAACCTTAGCATTTGGGAAGCAGAGGCAGGGAGTGTGTGTGTGTGTGTGTGTGTGTGTGTGTGTGTGTGTGTGTGTGTGTGCGTGTGTGTGTGTGTGTGTATGTATTTGTGGGTGTCATGAGTTCAAGGTCAGCCTGGGGGACAGCTAGGCCCTGCCTAACAAACCAACCAACCAAAACTCGAAACAACTCCTCAAACAAAGCAACTCTTTTCTTGTGTCTCAAAAGGTACCAATCTCCCTTTGAAAAAGCATGGGTTTACATTTGTGCAGCCTAAGCTGCTGAGAACTTCTCCTTGTTCCTGTAGGGCTCTTTTTGGAGAGAGCAGGCCTGTGAGCTGAGGACTTACCTTTGCCAGGGTTTCATCATCCAGGTGATTCTTCTGAATCACATGTTGAAGTGCAAAATAGATTTTTTCCTGAAGCTTCTGGACTTTTCTTGGTTCTATCAGCCAGGCTCGGTCTGACAAGGGGAAAAGCCAAAGCATAAGAAGAGGGCACACATGCTTTGCTTCATCCCCTACATGTATGAACACTGAGTTTTGGACCCATCTCATCTCAGCCTTAAGTTGCTTTTGAAGATATGTAATTATTTATATGAAACACAAATAGCTTATAAACAATAATGCCGTGAAGCCGGCTCCACAGGAAAGCCATTTGGTTCAAAGAAAGTCTTTCTTTGCCTGGTATTGGTAACTGTTTCAGCGTTTCCTCCTTCCTCCATGCCGATGCTTAGATTTTCTTTCCAAGCAGAAATAACTGATTTGAAACCGTGTAGGAATACTGTTAGCAACCACAAACCCCTTCTTTAGCTTGAGTTATCCCTTCATGGGGTATAAAGCTGATACCATACTATAACATACAGAGCACACAATCAATTTCAGAAACTAACTTCTGAGTCTGATTTTCCTGTCCCAAATTAAATTTTAGGTAGGTTAATCCCTCCTTTTTCCTTTCCTTGCTCCCGTGCATTTCCATTTTCCTAGCTTTCTCTTCCCATCTCCATTCTTTCCTTCTTTTCTGCTTGGAAGCTTTACACACCACAGTGACAAAGTGTAGCTAGTCTAGTATCATTGCCTCAGTTTGCTCAAGAGACTCTGGGAGTCTCCAAATGGTGAACAAATACTCATGGAAAAGCACCTGGCCATGATCCTTCTGAACATAGTTCAGGTCAGGTGAGAAACTTGATTCTGTAATCCTAGACAGGGCAAGGACAAGTCAAGCCAAGAGTTAAGCATACCCTTACGTAAGTGAGCACAAAGGACTTCAGTGACAATTGTCAATCAGAATAAATTAAGTTCCCCTTTCCCTTCCTTAAGCTATTTGGGAGTAAATAGACAGTAGCTATTAAGTCAAAAGGCTGGGGAAGAGTAGGGTCTGACCTGAGAGGACACAGATCTATCTTCCGTCTCCTCTAAGCTTGTTACTATGCCAAGATGACAAACAGGGTATTTGATATTGCAAAGCTTTGGAGTGTGGATCTGCTACCAAGCCTGGAAGACTCCACACTGGGCATAGAGAATAAGACAAATAGAATGCTTCCAAACTCTTTAGAGCATAAGGACAACATCTGTAGTTTTCAAAAAGGCTAAACAGTTCAGTCGATTTCTAACTCGTGGATACCAACTTAGCCTCCTGGGATGGTCATTTCCACTGCTTTTTCAAGCTGAAGATGGCATGGCTTCAGCATTTGCTGCTAAGAGTTTACTGTGTTCCATAAACAAGCCCAAAGAGGAAGGGAGTCTTTGTAAGGCTCTTCTTTTGATTGAGCAGGAAACAGAGGAGGGGGCTGTCTTCTGCATCTATAGAATCCATCTTTCATGGAGCAGATGTCAGTGCAGACAATCAAATGCAATGAGGGCATGAGAGGACATTATCTGGTATTAAAAAGGGACTTTTGTCACTTCCCATATCTGTATTTGTGCTTTTGGGCCTTTCAGTTTTTGATGAAAAGGGTCAAATAAAAACCAGAAGCAATTTTTTTAAAGATTTGATTGGACTGTCAGTGATCATATTGTGAGTAAGATAGCCTCGGGATAGGAAAGTGCAGAGGCACCTATTTGTGACTATAGCAGGATGACATGTCAAAGGTATGATAGAATTATAACTATGTAAAAACTATTACTTCCAGTCTTGCTGAAAAATGTTAGGATGTAAGTAAAGAGGTTGATCTCAGAAAGAAATGGATTGAAGAAAGAATTAATCTTAAAAATGGGAAGGGGTATATTCTTCCTTCAGTAGAGAGCTGACAACAAGCTGTTATGCCATATATCTAACAGACAGTTGCTTGAGTGACTCTGGGAAAAGAGGGAGCACGTATTTATTGTCATATTATTATTATATGATTATACATCACTAAGCTCTTTATTATTACACTTCAAGCAGGCCATATACTTTAAAGTACATACATTGCTGCAATTTTAGTTGATCCATAAACGTCACATCTTAGCTTTGGAAAACGGTCTAGTATTTTACTGCATTTTAGAGCTAGAGAAGGTGTATTTTGCTCCCCCTCCCCCACTGTAGAGTCTATTGCCTTATTTTATCAGTGAGAGAACTACAGCTTTGGAATCACACAAAATGATGGCATGCATCTGTGTCTGAGATTCTTCCTCTTCCACCAGGCAAGCCCCTGCTCCACAGCTATCCTTCCCCTTGGAAATGCTTAATACTGCTAAGGATATTTGTCTTGAAAGATGATGGCAGTGCGTTGTGGATAGAAACGTCTAAAAATGGTAATTAAAGTCCCTATACTTGGTCTTTCATTTAGCTGTTTTCTGTAAGTTTCACTCTATTGGACTCTACATTAAAAAAAATTTCCTTTATTCTTAAGCTCAAAATAGAACCCAGCCGCTCAGTCAGGGTTCTATTATAAATTCATTTTTTTTTATTATTTGTTGAGGAACAATTTTGCTTACCTGGATCTGGGGTGATCCCTGCCACATGTGACATTCTTGTTTTAGGGGAAAAATTGGCCATTTTAATAAACGTGAAGTTACTTGCCTTTGCATTGTCCAAAGGTATCAAACAATTCCTAGAGAAAATGCAGCCCCTTTAAAGTTATTTCTTGAACGCTTTGGCATGGGTAGGTGTAATTGATGTTAAAGATAGTGAAGCAGGTTTGAAAAGAAGGCAAGGGACCCGCGCCTTCCTACCTGGGGATATCAGAACAGCAGAGGAGAACAAAGCAATCTCCTCCTCAGTCAGCTGCAAGGAACACAGATTCTTTGCAAAGTCAAATGCTTCGTTCACCAGGTCATCAGAACCTAAAAGGAAGGAGAAATCTTAAATGGAAATACTTGAACTTGGAATGGGGCACAGGAAGAAATACCTCATTATCAAGTAGATACTCAAGGTTTTGCATATTAGACACCTAGACAGGGCATTTTAAGTCCCCAGTCACATGAAGTGATTCGATATTAAAGGTAGATTGAGGAAAGTGGGCAACACCTTTACTGAGTAACTGTAGATCGTCTTAGTGATGAGGGGGTGAAATACCAGCTAGTGAGTACTCTGTGTCACATCAGCTGGGAACACATAACCTGAATCCTACAAATCTGAAAATGATTCCAGCTCAGAAGTTGTAAGTAAGCTGGATTTGACGGCATATGTGTAGGATGTCTGCATTCAAGATGATGAGGCAGGAGGATTGCAAGTTTGAGGTCAGCCTGGGGACATGGAGAACCTTTGTCTCACACCCATAAAGTTTCACCAATATGACTGCCTAGAAATGAGCTGAACGAGGACAGCAAAAGATATGTTAAAGTGGATGAGGGAAAGACCAGGAGACCTCAACTCTACACAAAGAACTGTAGACAAATAAGGAAGGCTGAGAGCAGGCAGACTGGTCAAATACCAAATGCTTAGCCCTGAAAACAGACATACAAGTAACGTGACACAGATGGAGCAGGTTATATTTAGAAATATGTATGTATGTACTTATACATATATGCTTGTAATAACAATGAAAAAGGTCATGCATTTGAAAGAGAGCAAGGAGGGGGTTTATGGGAGGGTTTGGATGGAGGAATGGGAAGAGAAAAAAAATGACATAAATATACTATAACATCCAACATAAAAAATAAAATGAAAAGGTTTTTAAGTAAGGGATTTGAGACTCCTTTAGACTAAATCCACAGCTTTGAGAGAAAACCTAGAAAATTCTACACCGGGGCTCAGGAAGTGTCATTGGTAGTGGCACTCGAACTTGGCAACATGAGATGTCCAGGGGCTTCAAACTGAGGCTTCTTACACAATGCTAATGAGCTTGTTTCATTTTATGGACCTTCACCCCCAAAATTAGATGGATTTTCATTGTCTAATTAAAAGGCTCACAGGTCAGTTTCTTAGTCATTGTGAATTTTGGCAAAATAGCATTGTATCTCTGCGCTGATCTCTGTAAATGTTTATTTGATGAAGCTGGAAATATCCTGAAGCTGCTTGCCAAGGCTTTTCCTCCTTTCTTGAAAATCTAGCCTTGCAAAGGACATGGATGCATATCAACTGTAGAAGGGGAATGGTGCTAACCCACTGGGCTTGCTGGCGGCTGCCATATCAGCTAACAGCACAAGGGTGAAAGGGCAGTGGCTTCTTTGGTGTCCATGGGTGGATATGGAACAAGTGGCCCCATCACTTGTTCAGACCTTTCCTGGCATCGGCCCATCTTTGCTAATGTTCTCATGCATGCCTCGTCCTGACAATTAGATAGGAGGCTACTCAGCACCTCCCAAGATTGATCCTGCTGGTGTGGCTCACAGAATGGTCTAGGGGTCACTCTGACTAGGTCAGTGCCAACTGTGTATGCTCCAAGAGACTCAGAGTTCACAGGCAGATACACATTTCTCTGGATGAGAAACAAGTACAGCAACAGGCTGTTGTGGTTATTACACATGGTTATTTCTCCTTAATGATTATGAATTTAATTAAGAAACTTACAGGTCACTCCTATTAAACTCCCAGTGGTCTACATAATATGCTCTGTAGAGCAGTAAACCAGAATCTAGAAAAAATGGTTGTACAAAGAGTGATCTAGAGAGGACCTAACTCATTTAGCATCAGACTCTATTTCCACAAGGCCTCAATTGTGCTAGTTTTAACAGGGCTCATGGCTCTCTCTTTCCCTTTCTGATTAGGGACTGAAATTACAGGAACTGGAGAGTTAGATGAAATACTGAACACTCACCTGGTCCAATGCCAAACAAATAACAAGATACTAGCTTGTACCAAAGAAGCAAGGCATATCATTTGCTATTTCAGTCTAAGTGGGGAAGCTGATGACACTTAGTAAAGCTGTATTGTCATCCAAGGGAAACTTACCTAAGGCTTTGAACATTTGCATTCCTCCATATTTTCCTTCAAACAGAACAGTGTTGTTTAATGGGTTGAAGGCACGGCACATTCTCACTAAAACCACTTCCAAGCAACCTATGAGATAAAAGAATTCAAAATGCATATGTGTGTATCATATAGCCAGCAATAGAGTGGTCCCCAGTGTGTATTACATAGAGTTAAAGGAATTAAAAATGCATATATCATATATCCAACAATAAAGTGGTCCTAGTGCATAGAGATGGGAAACATTTCAGAACTTCACTTTTTTGTTACAGGATTTCCCTATGTAGCCCATGTTGGCTTTAAACTCATGATCCTCCTGCCTCAGCCCCCAAGTTCAGGTATATTCCACCAAATCTAGGAACTTTCAAGGAATTCATTCTTTAAAAGTAATTTTAGGGGGTTAGAGAGATGGCTCAGCTGTTAAAAGCACTCGTTGCTCTTCCAGAGAACCCAAAGGACCCATGTCAGGAAGGTCACAATCGCCTGTAACTCTAACTCTAGGGGATTCTATGCCCTCTTCTGGCCTCTGAAGGCACCTTTACACATGTGACATGTGCACATGTGTGCACACACACAAGCACACAGTAAAAATTTTAGAAAGATCTTTTGATACTTAAAGAATTAAAGAGAAAACAGACTTTAAAGGTAGTTAAAATGGAAAACAGCAAAAACATTTTGTAGGGGAGTGAAGCATTTCTTTTGAGTTTTTGACTAGTTATAAATTTCACTCCAGTCTTTGAGCTTAAAATTGGTAAGTGGATCAAGAAGGACGTGTGTGTCAGTCTCACATCTAATCTGTAGGCCTTGGTGAAAGGGCTACTACCGAGAAAGTTCACCTTTGGGTTTCTCTGCCAAATGAAACAGCAAGAGGCTTTGAGGGAATTTCATTCAGTCTTGCATCATATTGGACCAAGGGAAATTCCCAGCACACAGTAGGTACTTAATAACATTTACTGAATGAATTCATCTACCACCTTTGTGTGTCCTCTCAACATACATTTATACTCAGAAGCACTACTGCTGCATAGTTTCTCCGTATTTTGGAGATGTGAGCTTTGCCTCATTTGAAGGTAAGACTCCAAAGCCCCAAATTCTTGTGTGAAGAACATACAGTGGGTTGGGTTGCATCTATGGTGCCTTTCTTATGCCCTCACTTTATGTTTTATTTCTTTGCTCTGCTGAATTTTCTTTACTGTTAGCCTATGGGTTTAAAGACAGGAGAAGATGCACAAATATTAGCCCAACATGGCCATCTTGACACCAGTGGGAATAATATCATTTATCTGCACTATGCAAGACAGTTTCCTGGGCCCCTTACGGTTATTATCATATTTGCAGCTTGCACCGACTGTTTCAAGTGAATTTTAGATAGCTCCATTACAGGAATTCCAGGAGGCTTTAAGGAGGTAAGTACCTTGTACACTGGAGACAACATTTATACAGGAGGCAGAGATGTTAATGACCACATCATTCGGTGGCCCTCAAATGCCAGCCCTGAATTGGTGATATCTGAATCTCAGAAATATGCTGAACTGGGTTTCCCTCTAACGGGTTTGAATTCCATAGATGGTGGCTGCATCTCTGAACTAATGGGAAGCTCTTTTGCTGCATGTGATAAAATTCTTAGTTTGGAGTTCCATGTATCTAGTTCCATCCTTTGTTTTAAAGGTTAGGACACTGCCATCTCAAGGTGTCAGTCCAAGTTAGTACATCAAATGAGTCAGATTTTATTTTTTTCAGGAGAATCACAAAAGTATCTATTCTACATGCTTCCTAAACCCCTCAAGAGGTAGAAGCCATACCTGGTACATTTGACCCTGGGCAGGCTTTCATAATGGCTTTAACTGATAGAGGATGGTATACACAGCCCATTTTGTTTTCTTAAGGTAAGTCTAGAAATGTCTGCTGTGTTGTTTTGGAATTCTAGCTCCTGGAGTCCAGTGACTATACTGCCTGCAAGTCCAGGTTGTCTGTGGAGACAGTAACTGAAGCTCCAACCCAGAGCCTTTGCTGATGTCAGCCTGTCATCCGGCACAGATTGTCCTCCATGTGAACAAGAAAGTGGATTCTCTTGTCCTGATAGAAATTGCCTCAGTGCACACCAAGAAAGTAAGCATAGCAGGGACAGGCTATTCCCCATGAACTGTAGCTTTGAGAGCAAGATGAATAACTGATTCTTTAAATTTTAGGATGGTTGGATAACTGATAACACTGGAATTAGTGCTTGAGTTAAGTTTTTTGCCCATTTATATTATTGGTTAAGGAATTAACATTATGTCACCATAACAACTATATGTGGCATATATTTAAATAGCAGCTTTATCATGATTTATGATATTGAACACAGCCTTTGACCTTTCCTCATCTTTACCATCTTTGCTTCAAGTATGAAATGATACCGATCTCATAAGAAGAAATGAGACACGTCAATGTGAAGACATGTACACATTTATTATATTTGCAGTTTGCACTGACTGTTTCAAGTGAATGTCAGATTGCCCCATTACAGGAATTACAAGAGGCTTTAAGTCGGTAAGTACCTTGAACACTGGAGACAACATTTATACAGGAGGCAGAGATGTTAATAAACACATAATTCGGTGGTCATTAAAATTTTTTCTTTCCCATTCGAATTATGTGAATTCCATTGGGCTCAACGGTCAAAGTACTTAATTTACCAAAGCTAAATTAGGAGAAATGATGTTTATAGATGTTATTTTCATTGTGGATAAGTCCAGGAAGATGAACCCAAATGCTACTGCATTCCAATTTTCAAAGAGTTCCAAGAAAGATACCAGGTTTTTTTTTTTTTTTTTTTTTTTTTTTTTTTTTTTAAGGCAACAGCATCTTCAGTATTAATTTTATGTTGAGTTCCTAAGTGGTTGCTTGTATGTTAAAAAGAGCATCAGAGAAGAAGGAAGAATCCCAACACAGAGGCATTTCTTCCAGTAGATCCCTGCTGCAGGCTATTCTCATTAAAATGATTGGAAGTGACCACAGAGGCTGAGCTCAGCCAGCTTGGGTTTTTTTTTGTTCTCTTGCAGAAGGCAAGGAGCTGGTTTTAGCGCCAGCTCAGCAATTCAGCCACCTTGACACACTAATTACTTTCACTGCCTGTCAAGCTGGGCATCTCAGCCTCCGCAATTAATAGCTCTACTTTCAATAAGCAAAATTGTATTTGACTTCAAAGGGGGAAATGAATGACTATCAGGGCATTTTTATTACTGAGTTTCCTTAGGGAGTTAGCTGACAATGTGGGTGGTAAAACGGCCTACCTGTGGAAGCAGCATTTTCCAGGACCACCAGAGTGCTGAGGGCCAGACAGTCCCTGTATGAAACAGGTCCCCACAGGTCGGCCTGGCTTACCTGACTTCAGAAGTAAAATCTGGTCATTCTGACACAACTCCATGAAGCCTGTTATCCGCTTTGCGAACTCCACCACGTACTGGATGGCGTGGGTGATCTGGATGGCACACTGCTGCCACAGAGCCTCCCTGGACTGAAGCAGAGGATACAGACCGTGAACTGACCTTTTCTAAGGAGCTGATGAAATGCGCATGCCCCATCCCTTGTCACTGCCACCCAAGGGGGGGGGGGGAAGTCAAGTGTTTCTTTATTGTTTTTTTTCTCTTTTGCGTTATGTGAATCCATTGTGTTCAACTGTCAAAGAACCCAATTTACCAAAGCTAAATTAGGAGAAACAATGTTTATAGAATGCAAAACAATTATTTTCTTTACTATTTTCCTCATTTCTTATGGAGAACTTACTCTTAGTCTGCTAGATAAAAACAAACCACATGTTGAGGCATAATGATTTTATCTTAGCATATACCTAGTACTGTTTTTATGGGAACCTGGTGGACACTCAACATAATATTTTTATGTTGTGTTCTTTCCCCAGAATTTAAGAAAAAAAATCCTGGTTTTCTTGTTGTCATTTATTTGATTGGAGGAGGGAGGAAGGTTCACCATGTAGCCTAGACTGGCCTAGAACTCAATATGGAGCTCAAAGGGACCTGAGATTCAAAAAATCCTTCTGCCCTGGCCACCCGAGTGCCGGAATTGCTGACAGAAGTCACCAAACTTGAGTCAGATGTTTTTCTTTTGTATAAGAAAAATTCCATAGGAAAGGTGTGAGTTCAAATCAAGTCACTCTAATAAGTAATATAGAACCTCAAATGTATTTTAATACTTTTAGTTATTTTCTTTAAACTAAGAAACCTAAATCTTTGTGACTTTGAACTCTGCTTTTTATGGATCTTCTTATGTCTGTTTCCATAATTATGCTAAAGTAGCAAGAATTAGATCACCACGTTGTTTAAATGATACATTTAGATAAACACATTTACTTTACTAAATTTCCATCGACTGGTAGAACTTGTGGTTGGCAGTCTCAGACCTGAAGTCAAATAATACGAATCCTGAGCCCCAGGAGCAATGCTTTCCCTTAAATGTGTCTAGCGTATTTAGAGAAACATGGTTATTACTGACAGTACAGGGTGAACTACCCTTTGTAGGGCCATTTTCAAGAATGCTGGGCAAGAATAAAAATGTAGAATGCTTTGCCCCCTATGTTTGTTTAAGCATGTTGGGTATCATTTTTTTGTGGTGATCATCTAATGTCTTCTGTTCTTTGGCTGTACCCATAGCTACCAGGAGAAGTCCCAAACCATCTGACAAAGGCACCATCTCCCTGGCCATTCAAATGGGGCCATGGCTTTCAATCAGGGCAGTTATGCCTTCTAGGGAACTTTTGGCAACAAGCGGACATTTTTGGTTGCCACAACTGTGTGAAGGTTGGTATCTTGTGGATGCTCTTCATCAGTAGAATCCAGAGAGGCAGCAAATTGCCCCTACAATGCACAGAGTAGCCTGACAGCCAAGAATACTCAGACCGAAATGTCAATAATGTTAAGAAAAAGAAACCAGAAATATGCAATCACAGAGACAATCCCCATGGCTCCCGGAGTACCTTGCTTTGATACGCTTTTATTTCTTCGTAGGTGTGGGTCTGCCATGCCAGCTGATGTAGCTCTTCCATTGTGTACTGACATGTCTCCAGATGGGACTTAATGATGTTCTGTGCAATTCGATCTATGAGAAAAAAAAAACAACATCAATTTGAAGTTTTGTGAGTAAAATTTTTTTACTCCAAGAAATGGTTTCTAGAAGATGTTCTGTAAAGTTGTAGCCGGTGATGGACTACCTGCACAATCATATGAAAACATCTAAACTCCACCTCCTACCTTAAAACTTCCAAACTCTTTATTGTCTTTCAGTCAAAAGTTTTTCATCTGCTTCTTTGATGAAAGCTTTGCTATCTTACAAGTTGTAAAGCATTCAAATAACTGTTTGCCTTTGAAACACGTATTAAATTACCCTATTGTTCATTTTTTGGTTGACAATTTCTAAACAGTTTAGTACACCCATTCCAAATACTCAAAACTGTTTTGAAAATCACTGCAGTCATATTTCATATCAAAAAGGAGGGATTAAATATACATATATGTTCTCATCTTGAAAAATAGGATTAAATAATATAATGAAAGAGAAAGACATTTATGGGCAGAAGAGAAAACAAAGTAGAAAACAACTTCATCTAGGACATGTATTTCCATCTCTATTTATGGCTGTGAATATCTCTCACAGTTAACACCAAGAGCAGGGTAGATATGAGTAACATTGGCCTATGAGTAGGTAACTAATGAAATTTGTTCATGGTGCCATTAAATTCAATCTCATAAAAATTTCAAATGATGATACTTTTGTCAAAATGTTATAAACAAGGAAACATTAAATCAACAAAAGGGGAGCTAACAGATTATCTTTTGGGCTGTTTGTCTCAAGTAAGTTATGATTTATAGTCTGTCTTAAGTTCCTGTCATTTTGGCTTTGGTTGAGTAATAGAACTGGACAGGAAAGTTCTCCAGAAAACTAGCTAGGAGTCTCCTGTGTCAGACAGAGCTGACTGGAGGTCCTTTATAGTCCCACATGCTGTTTGAACACATGGGAAAGAGGGAAACTTGAAAAGTCCAAGTACTCAGGATTCCTATATGTGGGGTGTGCATGGAACAAAGATGACCAAGTCTACCTGGTCACTTCTGTTCTTGCAGCAGCTTTCTTGTGTTTCAGGTGCTTTTGGAAATATAAGCTTGCTCTTGTTCTGAATGGTTTTACTTTGCTTCCCTAGGACTGACTGCAAAGTGATATTGGTGCTCTGTTTGTCTCTTGCTGTGTATCTGGTATATATGGTGTGAAGCTGGCTGAGCTTCAATGACACAGAGGATGAAAAATATAAGCTATGCTTCTAGTGAATTTTCTAAATGGAATTCTCCTTAGCTGATTGTTTGGAACATTGGAAACTCTGAGTCAGTGGTAGCTACAGTTATCACTGGGAGGACGTTCTGTGTGATTTCTCGCCAGGGAAGCAGTGTGAAGAGTTGGAGACAAAAGAGAGTTATTTGATATTTCAGTTAGTGCTACTGGTGGGAGACATTTCAATACATGTTAGCACTTTTCAAAACAGAACTATAAAGTGACAGAGATAAAGACACTGCGAAATGCTAACTTATGATGATGGTCATATTCTATTGGCTTCAACATCAAAATTACAGCTTTTTAGCATATTATATTACAAAATCCTTTCCTTATAAAATCTTATATCCACAGTTTATTGAATATCCTCCTATGTTATAAAGAAGGGTGGGAATTACTCTCTACATTATATTAAAATAGATTGGTAAGTCATGGTTCATTATTTTTCAATTTCATTTGGGGAGTCTAATTATTATATCCTAAAAATTAGATATCTGTTCCCCAGTAGTTATGGAATGAAAACCTAACACTAAAGCCTTACAATTTCCAGACTTAGAGGGGCTTGTTTTCATCTTCAAAGGCATGCTGATTGTTGGTGACTCACAGGCTTCAGGGTTTATAAGCAAAACCAGAATTACTACTTCAAATTGCATTGTGACTGATGACCTGCTCTTCTAGGTTGTCTTCTGAGAACTATGGACAAAAGTTTAAGAATCCTCTGGTCTTCTGCCACTTGACACTTGTAGTTTTATGGAGTACTGAAAAGGAGTACGGGGACCATCACTACGTGGAAGGGCTAAGAAGACTGGATGTTAATTCTGTACACTAGCTTCAGGACTTGGTTGCTTGCATACATGCAGTGAAGGCTTCCCTGCCTCTCTGTGGCCTCCTACAGGTGGTCATACTGTGATTTTCCCTCCTGGTGTTGAGTCCTATTCTGTCTAGGCTGACAGTGTGGTTATTTTTGTGGAACTGTCTGTCTCAGACCCCTCAAGACTCTGAACTTTCCAAGAACTAGAAAAGAATATTATATATTTACTTAACAAATACTTTTTTTTATAAAAGGCAACTGTTATATATCAGGTCAAGGTATAGACTAAAAAACATTGATTTTTATCTTTTAGAATTAATAATAGTATTATAGTATGATGAAATAAATGCCCTTAGTTATTGGGGGCTTTCTCAAGGAGAAAGTACTATCTCGGGGAGAAAGAAGGTAACATGCAATCTGAAGGATGAGTACTGGTTTGTGACATGCAAGAGAATAAGATGTGCTGCAGGTAGAAGGAACAATATTAAGAAGGCAGAGCTAGAGGTGCGCACTAAGTTAGGTAATTTCAGATGTTATCCATCACACTTGTACAATCTTTAATTCTTTATCATCAACTCCTTTTTTTTAATATTATTACTGCAGAGACAAGGTTCAGAAAGAACAAACAACTCTGGACTAGTTTACAGAGTGTTTGCAAAAGCTATTCTGGAGTCACCTCCATCTTTTCTGTCAGAAAGTCCAGTGTTTGAGACAGTGAGTATGTGGAGGAGATAGGGAGAAATGAAGCTGTATGAGGGCAGAGACTGAACCCTGACTAGCTGAGTAGGAAGGTCCAGGCATTGCTTCTCCTAGGATTGTAGACTTGACCTTTCAACACTGGGGAGCCAGAGCATGCTGTGAAGGAGGGGAGTGACATGATGAGAGTTTTGTTCCAGAAAGGTGGTCTTAGCTGTGGCAAAGAGAAGGAAGTGTATTAGTGAGTGTGTGAGCAGATTCAGGTTGTTGTGAAAATTAAGGTGAGATACAAGTTGCTGTGGACAGGTCATGACAAACAAGGGCTAGTAGGTTTGGATGCAAGAGAATTCTGAAAGAAAATAAACAGGACTAGAAGACATTGTAACAAAACTGGGACATCAAAAATAGCAGGAACTTAAATGTCACTGACTTATTATACGTAGGTTTGACAATGTCCGTACATCCATGCTTCCATACATCCATCATCTTCTGTCAAATATCCACCCAAACACTCTTCCATCCCTTCCCTTGTTTCACAAAGATTTGAGAAAGCTAAGGTTGATCTTTTGTTTGATAACCTTCAAGCCTAAGCATTTAGAATGAAGAGAAGTGAGCATTATGAACGTACTATAATTTCCCACATCCTTGTGGAAGGAAATAAGTCAAATGTCTTTTCAACATAAGGCTCATACATGGCAATGAAGGCAGCCACTGCAGTGTGTGGGATAGCTGTGTGCAGAAACTAACTTGGTCCTTTCAGGGCTCAGGTCAGCAAAGCACAGGGCAAAGCTATTCCTGGTTTTAAAAGAGCATGGCCAGAGGGCTCATTCTGTCCCTTACAAAGATGCTTGAACATCAGAGCAAGACGGTTTTCTTGGACTGAGAGTCTGCAGTTGTGAAAAGGACTTAAAAAGAAAGGACAAAGGAGAGACAGTGAGTGCAGTGTGCTGAGTTCCTGCTGCGAGCCAAAGGAGCTTCAAGAGTCCCTGCCTGGAAAAAGAGAAAAGGTAATAGCAGATGCAGTCCCCTCCAGGGACCAACCACATGAGAAAGTCCAGACAAAGGAGGCTGAGGAGAAAGAACAGAGGAGATGGGATCTTACTGGGCAATCACACACCCTTCATCTCCTACCCTGACTTGGATTGCAGCTACTTCTCAGCAGTTGGCTTTTATTGGTTTCTTTAACTAGCTTGGGATGAAGATGGTCCATGTTGAAAGAGGAGTTGGCATGAGCTGTGCTGGGATAATGAGTTCAACAGGAATATGACAAACTCTGCCATGTCTAGAGGTGGTGCACTTGGACCGTACGATTTCTGAGATCAGGAAGAGGTAGGAAGGTGATTCATCAGTGCTGGGAGAGGGACTTCTAAGTTCAACACACGGTTGCAACGACCCTGTGAAGACCCTGTACATGTGCTCAGTATAAGGCAGAGGTTGCTCAGTTCACCGAGAGTCTGAAGGCTGCTTTAACTGCTATTAAAATGATGTTAAAGAGTGAAAAACACAAAATATTATGCTCAGTTCTGTCTTCTGCTCTCAATTACGAGGAGGGACAGTGCTAATTCTGGTGCAGGTCAGGGAAACTGCATGTGTGATTAAGGTTAATAGTAAGTCCATGTTCCTTATTTTGTATTTATTAACTTCATGGAAAACATCTCTCTCTGCCATCCATGTATGTTCCCCTATGGATAAACATACATTTTCCCCCCTTTCAGTGAAATTACACTTAGATTTATATTGTAGTTCTGATCTTTTCTTAAGGGGAAGCTTATTGGAATCCATGTTTTAAAATTAGTTAATAGAACTTGTAAATTTGTAAATGAATTAACTAAATGAGACAAAAAATTACAATGGGTAATTCACATGAGATAACAATCCATGAAAACTATCATTTTTTGGTGAAAAGATATAAAGCAATATTGCTAAGTTGTCACACTTCCCAAAAGTCTTAAGGGTAATCTTAACTCTACTTATGATGTGGGCAATGAGAAGAGAGAAATTAAATTTTTGAGGGGGAAAAATGGAATAAAATTGATGGTAATTCTCTGTGGTGTATGCAATAATTATGGAAGCCTGGGGCTTGAGTTAACCTCCTTCCTCTATCTCCAGATGGTCTGGGCCTAAATAATCCTAAGTCTCTCTTTCTGTCTCCATCTATGTCTTTGTTTCACCGTCTCTCTCTCTGTGTCTCTCTTCCCCCTGTGTCTCTGTCTCTCTCCATTGCACTCTGTTTCCACACTTCTCGTGCATCTTGAGTGCTTCTCATTGTAAT